AGGTTGGTTGCTATATTTATAACCGTACAACGGCTCGACGGAGTTACTGTGCGACAGCTAAGCCCTACCTTGAACCCTACATATATAGGCGCTGTACTAACGTGCCTTGGGTCGTCCATTTATTTTGCTAGCAATTCCATGCACTTCAATAGCATACATCTACGGAAAGCTATATAGGAACGAACGAGATTTCCAGAGTTGAAACTAGTAATTAGAACCTAACGAATACTATGAGAAGACGCACTGCTTATACATTCTCTAGCAATATAGATCACGGCAGTGCTTTCAGGTTTTTTCCTGTACGCGGTAATTATCTAGGCATTTAGGATTGTCCGGGGAAAATCTCATAGAGATTAACGAATTAAAGTAAACTGATCTGACGCAAATGTCGCAACGCAACGCTGACGCAAAAAAAAAAGCTGATCGCATCGCGATTTTCGCACATAGTCCTCAAACTATGGCAATTTCTAGTGGAAACTACTGCGTGCAGTTTGAGTATCTAGTATATTGCCAGTTGGCTAATGGAGATAAAAGCAGGATATATGCAACAATGTTAATTAAGGAATAGGTTGTTATTATAGCCTGGAATAGGTGCTCCGTAGGTACACTGCCAGAAGACAGGTAGTACAACTGAAAGATGCTGACTCGTGCAGGTTAGCCAATTATAACTTGAAGCCGCCATGTAATGTCAGGTAATGTAATGAATGATTTATTATTGAAATACAAAAAGATCGAACCGGATAAAATTTTAGGTTGGGAGGAAACCGGTAATTCAAAAAGCGAAAGATTTTCAAAGAGATTAATTGTTGGAGCTAATTTGGGAGCCCCAATAGCTAACTGATATTCTAGTCGCTAAAACGACAGTTCATTTCGCCGTTAATCTAAGTATATCAAAATGTTTTTTTTTTTTTTTTTTTTATAATTTATGAGCCCTCTAAGTCTACTCCCTGAGGATTTTCCGGTTTTGTTGATAAAAGTTTTCGCTGAATTTTTCAGAAGCCAAAAGTCGGCAATAACGTAGGTCATCTAGTTGGAGCGTAAGTTTGTCCAGCATAGAAGGATTGAATAAGAGTTGCAAGAGTGAGTAACAGAAAATGACGCAGAGTTATTCTATTACTATGACAAGTTTGTTTTTTTTCTATTAGAAAGAAGCAGTTTTTGCTTTCAGCTAAAAGCAGATAAACGCACGCTCGTCACAACGAAAAGCTGTGTATACCTATGTATATGTATACATAATCCCTCGACAGGATTAAGGACTTGGCTTTTGCCTGAAATTGGCGATCTATGTTATTGCTAACCTTCAGCTTCTGAAACATCCAGGGAAGATCTCCATAACACAAACATGAAGATTTACAGTATGATGCATATTTAAAAAATAAAAGAAACATAAATGCAAAAGTTTTGTTTTTTGTTTTGGTTGAAAAAAATATGTTTGCCATATCGAAATGTTCAAAAAGCTATTTTTGACACTTCTGGATTTTTTATACAAAAATTAACAGCCCTTTTGGTGAGAACAATATCAATTACCAATTGAACGGTTCATATGAGCTTCAACGGATTTTCGATTTTCTTTATATAGTCTATTTGGGAAACACTTCAGGATAAGTGTTGGAGAAAAATTTTTTTCATGAAGTACAGGAAGACTCACGGCATCACTATCATCAGCTCGCAAATGAGAAAGCAGGCAGGATAAACAGTACACTCTGCCAGAAGAAAAGAAAGGGTAGGGGGTGCTAAGGTGGTTGCCCGAACCCTGAAAAAGAGATCACTTATTACGAGGGAAAAGGTATTGAAGGCGAACGAGCGTGTTAAGTAAAATGCCGGGCCCGGACGCGACCTTATTCGCAGTTACAAGGACTCTTCTTAAGGACTTCCCTTGCACAATCGCTAGTTGCCACGCAGATTCTCAGCTTAGGCCGAATCCCATCAGAATGGAAAATCATATGGTTATCTTTAGGTCTAAGAGGAAAGGCTCCTACAGACCTTTGTGTCTGCTAAAGACGCTAGCGAAAAAGATCGACGTTATAGCAGAAGGTTAAGAACTTTGCCGAAGAAAGGGGTTGTTTGTTTAAAAGTCAGTATAGCTTCCGGAAAATAGATCCGTATTGACAGTAACGGCAAAGTTCCCAAAAAACTGAAAAGTTTAGGGGTGAGCTCGACTAAAGCAAAAGATCTCCTTCTTAAAATCTCCTAAATATTAAAATAATTTAGTACCCTCTCATAACGCACAGTGCTCACATGTTTAACGAAAGGATCACATCAAGTAAGCCATTACAATAGCAACCAGATTTTTCATGAAAATTGCTGGAGTACTGCCAAATATCCATGGCCTACAGGGAAGAAAGAAGAGGATAAATTGCATTCGTCAGGACACCTGTCTGGACATTGCCTAAATCTTTGGGGTCGCATTCAAGAAGCTAATTGAAAGCGCCTAGCAAATCGTTGTGTTTAAGGTTTTCCAAACCTACCGCACGGTAAACACAAACACAGGCTTAATTCATTTTCCAGGACCTGAGAGCTGAAGAAAGGCGCATGTTCTGTAACCGTCCGACGGAAGACGCAAAGGGTCAGGTCTTGAGAATTTGGCAAGAAGAATAGAAGGTAATACTTAATTTTATTTCGAGAGCAATAGCAAGAGACATCAACCCTAACATAGAACACAGTTACTATCTACAGAAGTCCTGACGAGTCATGAAGCGTTTCAAGGCCATCTTTACAAATTATGCGAAGTCCGATCGGTCATCTGTGTTCTCTCCATTGCGGGCCAGAAATAGATAGGGCCTATCGTACACTGGCGACGCATACCGACACTAGAAAAAGATAACCAAAGAAATGAAATCGTCTTTGGGAAACAGAATGAAAAGTTTACATTCCTCATGAAATTAGATTGTTGAGGGCGAGTGAGACTCTAGCAAAGGAGATCTTCAAGGGAAAAATCGATTCCCACTGTCAGCTTATAGAACCGCTGCACGAAGATCTGACCTCATTCAGGGTAAACCTTGAAAGAAGAATTGGGAACTGATGAGTTTCTGGTCTTGACGGACTTAACCAACGGGGCTAAGCCTCAGAGTTGACACATCTAGGATAAGCGTTACGCTCCGGTGCTACTAATCGTACGTAAACTAGATTACTTAAACTGTCTGTATAAAAAGAAAACAACATGTTTCTATAAGATTGGCTCAAAAATTAAGAGCCTAGGTACTTCATAAAATCAACGACGAGCACTCTAGCCTAGCATTACTGTACCGCAGCTGCAGTGATAAAGTTTTTACACAGAACTATTACGAGTAACGAAAAAGGCAGAAGTCTAAGACGAGATTTAAGCCATTCTAAACTGACCATTATTTGCCTTCGCTAGAACCGAAGAAGTCAGTTACGATGAGATTGCTTGACACGAAGAGGATGATTAATAGGAATCCATATATGCCCCTATTATATATCAGATTAAAGAAGTCATTTACCCGGCAAGAACGATTCCTATAGACAAGCTCATCCAGAAAAATCGATCGAAATATGTACATTTCACTTTAGCCTTGAAGTTCGATATTATTCGGTGAAGAATTTTCATCCTCTACAAACGTGCCTCATTGAATCTACGTATAGTTTTCAATGTTTTCTTTAAATGTGCCTTTTTTAATAAATTTACGTGAATTTTTACACACTGTATCATTTAAATCGTTGCTTTTTACTGCATTATTTATAGTAACGATGTCTTTCGAATTTAATTTTATTACATTATATATCATTGGTGAGTAACTTTTGTGGTATTTAGCGAGATAAGTATGTACATAAGAATCTGAGAAATCATTGATAATACTTTTCATCTACTGACAGTGGATAAAAGCCACGTAATTTTCCAAGTAAACATACACTTGAAACCTAAAAAGTGATATGCGATGCTCGATAAGACCTTCCAAAAGCATTTAGTAAATTTCCACTCAACTTAGATTTTGGTCGGCCACGATCTGTCCAACACTACACCATAATTTTGTCCGGCTGCTTATGCTGCGATTGTACCTCCTAGCTTTGTCCTTCACACCTATTGCGGCCAAATCGTTGGCCAAAGATAGTGGCAAATTCATCTTCACAGAAAGAAGAAAAAGCAACTATTCAGCCAGTGAAACGTCCAGAGCAAAAAAAAGCGCTCGCGCAGAAAAATTCTCTGAACGCCAGATCGTATTCGCGCATTTTTAGTCATACGCACACATAAAATGACAGCAGCGCAACAGAAGACAAAGTCTGTTTCCGCTACGACTGCCTGCGCGCATTTACGCCGCCACTATAACACGACGCTCGCCTGTGTGCGTGCGCCTTTCCGAGTCTTTTCGTTTGGGCTGATCCCAAGAGATTCGATCGCTTACGACTGTCTAATAGCAGCGACAATCGGTTTGCCCCCACGGATCTGTCTCTCGATGTTGAGGTGGTACCGCTGATTTTAGCCACAACCAGAAGTTGAGAAATAACAATACCTTTCTTTTTGGCCTTGTTTGTTCCCGTTCCGTCAGTTCTAAACCTGTTGGCATATTGGCCGACCGGCACAGATTCAGAGTTTTACACGCGCCGCATACAACCGCTGAGAAGCTCGCTGCCAACGCAGCTCCCCTTGTTGGCTCCAAACAATGATTCTGATGATAATTATGATTATGGTGACCAGTATGTTGGTCTAGAGTGCTATAGAAAATTTCACTTACCGAATTTCTAACATCGTATTGTAGCTTTTGAATTTCTTGTTTAATAAGGAAACAAAAGCATCGACAAGGACGCTGGCCAGGACAAAACAAGCGTGCAACTAGATAAGAGAAATTCAGCACCTCGATTCTGGAGCTAAGCTATTAGAATGAGCTGTTAGAAATCTGCGGTTTGTAGTCAACGGTACCTTCGGCAAGTGAAAGACGGTCACGCCCTTTCCCTTTGCACGCATGAAATAACGTCGACACTTTCGCCCTCGTATTTTGTAAGCCATCAACCGCGCAAACCGTAAACAGTCAGCAAAAGTTACTCAAGCATTCAACTCTAACTTCGAATTGAACAAGCGATTCAGCTCATAATACAACCCAGCAGTGCACAACCTATGGACAGATGCTCTGAAGTAGTGACTTAACCCCCTAGTTCCCCCCTCCCCCTTCCCCTAGTTTTGAAAATCGTCTTTTCGATTGTTGTGAATAGGGGTCACTTTGATTAAGCTGATGACCGAAAAACAAATGTGCCAAGAGCTATAGAGTTGTTAATGGAAGTGCTCTGTTTCTCTTGCATATAGACAACTAGAACAGAACCCACGATATTGGAACGCATTGTGTGTATAGCTGGTTATCTTTCTAGCCGCATTATACTTCTATCTTTTCGATTATCTGTTCTATCCTAATTCCTTGGTCGCTGCTTTACCGCTTTTACTTACATCTATATAACTGCAAAGTGGATCAGCTAGTACTAGCCAGCCTTATTCTTTTCGGCTGGGTTTCGATGTGTATGAGGGTGCTACTACTAGTGAGATCGTGCGAATTCATTATCACGACAGCGAGGTTCATCATGAAGACAACGTACCTATTTCCAAAATGATTCTTGGCTTGATACCGTCATTTACAATAGCCGAAGACTAACAGCTCAGTGTTACCGTTCCAGCTGTCTGGCGGACGAAGTGAGGTACTCACGCACAGCGAAGCGCGTTGTTTTTCCTTTTCGGAGCTTTTTGCCTTCTGTAGTTTTACTAGTATATCATTCTAACTGAGTAAGTGTGGCGAAGTGTCTGAAAATAGAAGATCGCAATAAGAAGAACGGTCCATTTCTTTACCCGAATATTCTTTGGGGTGTCATCTTCGCTTGTACCTATGCCGGTCTTCACGATGCTCGGGGTAAGTTGACGACACAAAGGAAGCTTCAGTATATTGAATGTGATCAGTGGTTAAACACGAAACAATACGTAACTTGGACAGGTTACATTGATGTGAAATATCTTGCGGAACACTTGGACGTTTCTTACTTTTCATGCCTGGGCCGCCTTAACAGCTCCATAATTTAAATCATTCCATCACTCGAGCAGCCCAAAGGCAAGAGCGGTGTAGTCACGGTTTCACGATTCGAATACTGGGCGTTTAATTAGCATTTGCTGAACACATCAAAAGGCAGAGAATTATGAACGTTCAAGTCCCGCCGTTTATATAAATGTGCATGTTTTCGGCCGTGCGATTGATATTAAGTACGACACTTCTAGCTAGATGGCTTCAGCTTCAGGCCAGCTGGATGGTTTAAATCATTTTAACACGTGTTTTAACAAAGGATACATTATGGATAAGGTACACAATTTGTTGTAGAAAGAAAAAAAAACCGAAAAATAGTTAGGTTTTAGCGTTGCCGACGCAACTAAAATCGATTCGAGAAGTTGCCTTAGTGATTACCAATTGGTGATGATGCGGTCTTCTGTATTTGAGGCTGTCTCTCATATTCTCGTGAGGACGATGCCTTTGGAGACATTGACAACTGATTTGAGTACATTATATAGGATTACACTACGTGAGAACCGGTTCCGGCTGTGGTTACTGACGGCCCCCATTTCCCTCATTGGTGGAGGTTTCACACCGAACAGTGGACTAACATCCATGGGAACCCGAACTATCTGAACATTTCCGAGGAAGAACCCAGAAAGTTGTTTCTTGTTTGTTTGCATATCAAAGAATTGTTCTCCTTAATAATTATGGTTATTGTTATTATATTTTCAGTTAATATTTTGCACAAATTAAAACTGTCTAGATTCCGTATAGATCGCTTAGATGATGGGCAGCTATAATAATTTAGGAGTAGTAGGTGCCGATGTCTGAATTCTCCAACCTTTGTTTCATGTGAATTGTAGCTGGGGTCCGATTCAACGGTCACAATCTGAAACTTGCAGATCGGAATTTAAAAACATAAGATATATGGAATTCCAGTACGAAAATGACGGACGTTGAAACCTGACTTAAGCACAAAGTGCCTCACCCATTGAATCACTGCCTAGAAAATTTTTTTGTATTTCTTCATCTGCCTGCCTTAACAACAATAAAAGGCTAGGCACAACCTAAAGTGAAGTAACCTAATAATAGTTTAGAAATTAAATTTGAAGTATCCGAAATGCAACTGTCCGACAACGTTATCTAAATGAAACATCTAAAAAAAACATACCGAACCTAAACTACATTATTTACATATATGCAGTGGATTATGCTGTTTGGGGCTGGAAAATTTTCTGTCGGGAAGTGTTACTTGATTAAATACTCTATTTTGCCCGACGGTTGGGCATATCTTTGAACTTGCAGTGAGGATAGATATTTCTAATCCCACATTCTACTTATTATACGTGTTTACATATATACAGTCACTGTGAATATATTTTTTATAGATAAACAAAGGGGCAGTCAAATTTGTGCTAAAGTTGAGAGTTCTACAATAGAATCGAAGAGAAATATATTTATTCTAGCGTTAATCTGTAACCCGCTGCAATCTCACGCTCTAATGGAGACCCAATAGCCCCGAAAGTCTGCACCTCGTTTAACCAATTAGACCAACTGCCACAGATATGGGAACTAAACGCGTACCTATTGGTTCGTTATATAGCAATCTAACTTTAAAGTTCCTTCAACAAGTTAGTTAGTTCAATCCAAATATTTTAGTCAAGTAGTAGGTATAGTCGTTGATGCGCATATTCTTACGAGGGCATATAGCCAAGTAGTAGGCTGACTGCTAGGCAATTTTCCGGTATTCCCACCGGGAATAGCATGAAGTTTTTTACTCGCATCAAACATTGCGATACATAGACGATTATACGTGGTGGACAATTTAGAAAAACGTCTGAGACGGACACATATTTCGATTCTGTGCTTTCATCATGTACGTTTGTTGTTTAGAATTGTGCTGCATGTCTACTTCCTTCGCTTAACAGACCTACTTTACTCACACATTTGTCTAGTATGAAAGGTAGCTGATGACACAGAATAGCGATACGTATCCAGTCAACTCTGTTCCAAAATGAAGTGACGCTCAGTTTCGCTCTTGTTTTGTTGCCCGATTATATCTGAACAACCCTAACACACTGAAAAAAGGATTTACTTGGAAATATCGCAACCATAGGAAAAGGCAAAGTAAACTACGATGGTAATCAGAAATCAATTCATCTCTGATGTGGCTCGTTGAAGGTCTCACTTCAGTCCATGACGTACGTTATATTTGTACATTACGCATTTGTTGCTTCGGATCATACGCAGACATACGCTCAAGCAACAACCTATAGGTTAGTGGGGGGATTTCAGATAGAAAAGTTCATAGAATCGCGAAGAAAGGCTTCGTAAAGCAAAGCTGCGACTAGAAAGCCAATTGACAACTTGGACGATTTTGTATTTCGGTCGTTCATCTGAATACTGCAATATAAAACGAATGCCACTCCAATGTTTTTTTTTTTCGCGCACGCTCATATACAAATAGCCAGTATGGCAAAGTTGAGACGATCATCGAAGGTTGCCTGAGCATCAAAGTTACAGGTAGGTATGCTCTTGTGTCTCCTATATACAGCTGTGTACGTAAAATACTAATTTTTTACATGAATTATTCTTGGAAGACACAAGACACGTGCAACACATCAAAGGTAAACAAACTAGATATATGATATGCTGATGAAGACACATCACTCTAGAGCGCTTAGTGCAAGCTGCTGCGGCTGCTGAAAACTTCAAACAATACAAAGGTCCGGTGTACAAAGGCATTGTCGACAGACAGCACGAAAGTGATGGGGATCTGGGACGGGAGCGAAAAAACGAAAGTCTCAAGGATTCTGAAGTGGCCAAAGAATTTTCGTGCCTGCTTAGCGCACTGCTGGCGACTCAGCAAAAGAAAAGAAGGAGAATATCGCTTTCAGTGGACACTTCGATGATACTGTTGCTGCTACGTTTTGACGTGGTAGCGTTGCGACCCCTACTAATTTTAATTCCAATTATTGTGTAAGTCCCTTCTAAAAAACTGTCAGTGCACCAGGCGGCGCTGGTGTCTTTATTCCAGTTACGCTTTCATGGTATTCATTTGAAAAACGCTGTATGCCACAATGTCATAGTAACGTCGAACGTGAGCTGCCATGGACTCATGTCTTGAAGCCTCTTCTTTTCCTGCCGTCTTGCGAATGGACGAAAGAAAGCTGCTTTGAACGGTAACAGTGACTCAAGATCAAAATTCTATCCATCCGCTGTCAGTTACAGTTTTATTTACATTGCATTTCCTCAAAAAACGCAAAAATTTAAATTATACACAGAAAACCGACTTTATTTAGCTACAGCGGTTTTATTTATAGTATTTTTACATAAATGAATAAACAAGCAGCTCGAAACTGACGCTGTATGTATTTATTACACTTTACCGAATAGAAAGATAGAATTATGGTGAAGTAGGAAATGGTAAATTTCAAGGAAAACGTTTCTTATCTGTTCACAAAAGATTAGTGCAAAACAAATTCGAGTGTTCATCGAAATGTCTCAGACATTTTATACATATTAGTCCCTTAACAACTCTGATCAATAAGCCTGACTAATATATATTCGGCGCATTCTTCTTAGGTAACTTTTCTATTCTATCTCTAAATTAATATATATATATATATACATGTAGAGTCAAGCTGGAGTGAGAAGACTGCCTTGCCATATTTAAGCTGCAAAACATTAGCATATGGCTAATCTACTGTCAATAAGAAGAACAGTACTCTTTTTCCAGCGACCTCAAGCCGTTCTCCGTGACAACCGGTACGAGGGAAATAATGGCACTGAAGTGTCTGGGTGATATTATCCATCATGCAACAACAAACGATAGATAGTTTTGGGCGAATCCTCACCTTTTTTCCATTGGGTTCCATTGCTACATTTTCTGTTATCAATGGTAGGATGAACAAAACAAAGGCGCGTACAATTTCATATTCATGACAGGCGGGTAATTTTTCCGGAAGCCGCGAAGAATCTGTGACGCCGATTTTATTCTTCGATTTTGTCAAGGTCATATGCAAATCCGGCGTTGCTTTAATAAATAAACCGCTAAACAATTCGTTTTTAGTTGTGGAATATATCAGGCATTCGGAATACTTCTGTCTGTGGATTAAGATTGTATCTTCATGTGAAAATACTTAGTTTTACGATAATGGTCGACAATGAACATGAAAGTATATATATAGCACAATACCAGTGCTCTAAATTCTACGAAGTAGCTACTGGGAGGGGAGAGATGATTGTAGACCGACGACGAAAAGTTGCCCCCTGCCATGAACAAATATGGCAACCACGGTTGCGGGAAAAGATCCCAACTACTTATGTACTATTGATAGATATGTGTGACAACATTCGACTAGTCGTTGAATCTATTGGAAACAGGTGCAAGAGTGAAACTGTTATCTCTCATAGAACAAAATTGCAGTACGCCAAAGCATCAAATTGATAAATTAAGTTGTAATCAAACAAAAAGTAAGCACATTAAATATGAATGAATTTATCAAGCTTCTGGGAGAGATACTGCCGCACCCTTTCTTTTGCCTGCCCGGATGGCTAACTTGTACCTCGTACGAGCTGTTCCCTTTTCCACGCCCAATGGCGACGCAAAAAGGAAAAGGCTTGCAGATCGAGCGGCTTTTTACTTGTTGGTCAAATTCTGGACCAAAGGACCGGCGCCGCTTTGTCGACTACACCTTTTGTTGTCCGCATGTACTTTGCTCCCCTATATACCAGCGCGTGTGTTTCTAACGCAAAAGAGACACAATCAATGCCCGATGACTTACTGATTTAAACTACTTTATAAAATAGAAGAAAAAAAACTTTGAATATATGTATCGTATAGTTCCGCATGCGCTGCTCTCAGT